TCATGAGCTGCCAAGGCTATGGAAGCCCCCTGAGTTCTATCTTGTCAGTTTTTAAAGAAGTCATTTAGGTCATTTAGGTCAGTTTGCCAAGAAGGGATTTAAGATGGATATTTTTAATCAGCAGAAAGTGTGGCATCTGGTTGTGATAATTTACTCTGCAATAATATCTGACACAGAAAAGTCCCTTTGATTTTCCTCCCTCTTCCTCTCCCTTTCCACTTCTTTTCCCAAAACTGTTCAAGCCCTTTCTAATTTATATTGGTGTCTGGTGAGGGACTGGCACATGAAATTATTTTTATCCCCCACTGCTTAACAATTACCTCAATACCATACAATAAATAATTAGTTCTTGATTGTGAGATTTAATTTTCATATAATACATTCATATAAATAATTTATCTCATTTCTGTATTTGATCCACTAATCCTACTCTATAACTGGAATGGGTCTCATATTTTCTTTCTGATTACTTAGTTTTTAATTATACTATTAAATCTCAAAGTTCCTATTCCTACTCTCTTTCAAGGTTTTAAAAATTGTTATAAACTACTATTCCTGTAAATAAACCTTACAATCATTACCTAATGTTGTAAATATAATTCTTTTAGAACTGTTTTGAACTATATTAAACCTATACATTTATTAGAAGGAGTTAGCGTTATATAAACATCAGCCTTTCTATCCAAAATCAGATTATATCTGTTTATCACCACTTATTCAGAACTTCATTTACATTTTAATAGGGTGCTGTGGTTTTCATTATTTGTGACACTGCTTGTTAAAACCATTTCTATTATCAATTCATATATTTTACTGCCACCATGAGTTGTATCTTGTCTTCACCACATTTTGTAAAATTAGTTCACTTATGTTAGAATGCTCTGGTTTCTTGAAATTTTCTTTTCTCTGGTGGTATTTATGAATCTTCTTTTTACCCATATTTGATTTTAGTGAGCTTCTCTGTGCATTCTCTCTATATATAATACTCTTATCTATATTTCTTTTCCTTTCTCAGGTTTTACACTAGCCAGGACTTCAAAGCAACAGTCAATAATATTAATGTTTTACTCTCTATTTTTATGGTAAGTCCCCCCATATTTAAACAAGAAATATCCTAGCTCTGGTTTTACTGAATAGATTAAATGCACTGTGGCATTTTATGTAGCACTTCATGTTCCTACCCTAAAGGAAAGCTTTAGAAGCCCTGGCCCAGCACATCATGTCCAGAGGGTTTAGAAAGCCTGCAACTGCGCCTGGTGCTGTGGTGCAGCAGGTTAATGCCCTGGCCTGAGGCACCAGCATCCCATATAGAGACTGGCTGCTCCACTTCCCATCCAGCTCTCTGCTATGACCTGGGAAAGCAGTAGAAGACGGCCCAGGTCCTCAGGCCCCTGCACCCACATGGGAGTCCCAGAAGAAGCTCCTGGCTCCTGGCTTCGGATCAGCACAGCTCTGGCCGTTGTGGCCATCTGGGGAGTAAGACAGCGGATGGAAGCCCTCTCTCTCTCTCTTTCTCTCTGCCTCTCTTCTCTCTGTGTAACTCTGACTTTCAAATAAATAAATAAATCTTAAGAAAAAACAAAAAGCCTGGAACCAAAAGAAAAAATCTAGATGTCACAATCAATGGTTTAAAGAAAAATAATGTTTTTGGTCTCTGGGAACTGAGAAAGATGGATATAATGAAAGTAGCAAATGTAAACATGATCAAGAGTGTTGAAAATAATAAAATGAGTGAGGGTAAAAACTGAAAGGCCTGTGAATAAGGCACGGGAAAAAGATTAATCTGGCAAGCCTCATATGGAAAGTTTCTATCTTAACTCATTACTGAGTTTCTGTAATTAGCTTCATGTGCATAACTTACCTTACTTTCATGGAAATCTATAAACCCACCATTATATCCCTGTGCCTAGATCAGTGTTTGCTGAAGCACACTCTGTGGGTCACCTGCACAGTATTCCTTGGACATTCTGGTTAAAATGTATTCAGCCCAGAAGTTGAGATGCCTGCATCCCACATCGGAGTGCATGGCTTTGATATCCATCTCTGGCCCCTAACTCCAGTTTTCTGCTAATATAGACCCTGATAGGAAGCAGAGATGGCTCACATAACTGGGTTCCTGATATCCACTTGTGGAACTGGGTTGAGATTCTGGTTCCTACTTTGGCCAGCCCAGTCCCGCTGTTGAGGGAATCTGCAGAGTGAACCAGCAGATGGGAGTCTTGTGTGTGTGTGTGTGTGTGTGTGTCTGTCTGTATGGCTGTCTCTCTTCTTCCCAAATAGTTTTTAAAATGCAGATCCTACGACCCCTTTACAGGTTAAGTGAATCAGAATAGGAGTGGAAGAGGCCTAGAAGACTGCAATCTAATGTGGCTCACTAGGCCATTTCCCATACAAATGAATATTTACCCAAAGAGATTGGGAGACAGAGAAAATAAGAGGGAGATCCACAGAGAAATAAAATCTGAGACATTGTAGAGGGAAATTTTATACTTACATTAGAGCACAGGAGATATTTCACATCAAACTGTAAAAGCTGAACCTGATACTCCCATTAAAATACTATAATTAGATCAGAGACTTTGCCAAGAAATGAACACAAACATCATATTAAATCACCTAACAAGTCATGTGTTCTACATTGTACAAAGCATTTCAAAGGATATGAAAACCAAGTAAGGCAACACCGAGCTCATCACATCTAATTATACTCAGGAAATGCTATCAGCATCTATCAGGCAAACTCCTTGTCATGTTTCTTTGTAACTTATACATTATTTTTACTGCAATAACTCAGAAAGGAGAGAAGCAAATTCATTAGTTACGAAATCAACAAAGATGTAGGGGCATCTTTTTTTTTTTCACATCTCCACAGGGAGATTTTTGGGTACACCTCCAACCGACCTATGGCCTTTACCGTAGCTGACCTGTGAAGATTAGTTCGACCTTCTCCCTGCAAGTCTCCTGTAGAAATATTAGAGGTCAGGCTCTGGAAGCTCTGTTTGGATGTCAGATGCCTCTTTCCCATTTTAGCTGCCATCTCGTCAGCCTCAGCAGCCTCACCTCAGACCCTGCTTCTAAATGTGTCTCTACTTTAAAAATTCATGATCCACACCTTTACTCATATTCATTCAGTGGCTTGTCCTTCAATTCCCTTCTGGTGACAAACACGCTTCAACATCTTATCTTGAATTGTGACACACTCAAAGCCACACAGGGCTCAGGGTGAATATTTTTAAATATTATCATGTAGACTATGAGTTTTGCACATTTTCTTTCTGTATTTACTTCAAAGACAAAGTGGCAAAGAGGAGACAAAGTGTGGGTGCACACGCAGGTGAGAAAGAGAGAGATGGAGAAGGAAGGAGAGAGGGAGAGAGAAGGAGAGGGGGAGGAAGAAAGAGAGCCTCCATCCACTGTTTCACTTCCCCAAATAACTACAATAGTTAGAACCGAGCCAGGCCACAGCCAAGACTGAGCCTGGCTGAAGTCAAGAGGCAGGAAATCCATCCAGGTCTGCCACATGGCGTCAGGGGCCTAAGCACTTGGGACATCATCTGTTGGCTTCCCGGGTGCATTAGCAGAAAACTAGATTGGAAATGGAGCAGATGGGACCCCGACCAGCACTCCAACTTGGGGTCCCGGAATTGCAAGTGGCAGCCTATCCTGCTGTGCCACAATGCCTGGCCTCCGTACATCTTTTTGAAACAAACAAAAGCTTCAATTTAATCCATGAATAGAGTGTCCTGAGCACCTATTCTGTACCAGGCACTGGCTCTGTGGATACCAAGACAAATGAGACACGGTTCCTGGCTGGAGTTAATTGTAACCAACAGATTATTGACCACTTTTCCTTTTAACAACCGTTCCTAAAACACACAAGGACAGTCTGAGTTGAAGAAGTCAAGCTTGGGGCCAGCGCTGTGGCATAGCAGGTAAAGCTGCTGCCTGTGGTGCCAGCATCCCATATGGGCACCGGGTCAAGTTCCAGCTGCTCCACGTCTGATTCAGATCTATGCTATGGCCTGGGAAAGCAGTAGAAGAACCCAAGTGCATGGGTTCCTGCACCCATGTGGGAGACCCAGAAGAAGCTTCTGGCTCCTGGTCTCAGATTAGCCCAGCTCTGGCTACTGTGGTTATTTGAGGAGTGAACCAGCAGATGGAAGATAGATTTCATTCTGCCTCTGCCTCTCTGTAACTCTGTCCTTCAAATAAATAAATAAATCTTTAAAAAAAATTCAGGCTTACCTAAACTCAATATGTAAATACATGAGAGTTGACACAACTACTGAGCATTGCTTTTCAAAATATTAATGGGCATCTAACCCAAGAAGGTCACATCTGCTCTGTGAATGTTTGAAACCACTGGGAGTCATTTTCTCAGTTAACAAGGAAATAGTATCATTACTTTACACTTTACAGCCTTAGGATTCTCTTCTTCATTTTCCCCTCATATTTTCTAACTAGCATGTTTACTTCCTTCTGTGCTGCCCCAGCCAGAATCTCAGGGCTCCCTAACAAGAGTTGTGTAGATGTCAGCCTTGAATCAAACGACACAGGCAAGGGTGCTCTGAGCTGAACATGAGGCTGAGGCAAGAAGAGCAGCAGGAGAGCTGTGCATAAGGCACATGAGGAATGCAGGCTGGCTGAAAGGTCTCTTTGACGAGCTTTTATATGTGCAGAGTCTGCCTGCTGCTTGCTGCCAACAACGGGAAAAGTGACTTGAAGGCAGCTCACTCAAATGTCCAGGCAAGCTGTTGTCCACTGAGGATCGACTGCGCATCTGTGGCACCTGTGCACAGCCTCTGCCTTCAGGATGCTCAACAGTTCTGCATCTGGCACACAGCTCAATGGCCCAGTATACCAGGGATAGGCAAAGGTGGAGCCACCTCTTCCTGCACTCGCCCTTCTCACATCTGCTTAGCTAGAGCCCCATTGAGTGCTCCCACTGTGTTGACAAGCCAGGCCCTCCCCTACTGCACTACACAATGCAGATGTCTCACCACGGAATCTTTCATCTTCTTGGGGAGAGGGTCTGCAGCTGACTCTTCCAGATTTTGATGTAAAAATTTAGGAAACAATCCGCATTGAATAAAGGACCTGAAAATGGAAAGTACACAGGTTTTACTTTTTAAAAAACATGTACCTAGGACTGTGCTTGAGGTTAATAATTCTACCTTAGAATCTCACACCCACAAACAGCAAAAGCAAGTGCCTTCTCCACTAAAAAATTCATAAGAGAGGTGCAAAGTCAAGAGATCACAAAGATAATGTTTGGTTATCAAATGTCATCCTCATGAAAGCGTTAAGTTCCTGGGTGATAGGGCACCCCATGCCCTCCCACCTGTCTGTCATGACTGTCAACAGCAGGGGGGCCTCCAATTCTGCCCCTACCACTCTAGGGCTCCATCCTCACAGAGAACAGCCAGCAGCAAAAGTCAACATTCTGGGAACACATGCAAAGCTCAAAATTGTGCAAACCATGTTTAACTTTTTTCTTTTCCCTATTTTCCCATGCCCTTTCCCCTTGCTACACCTAACAGGCTAAAATTATGGTGGTATCTCTGGGCCCCAAACAGGAAAGATTATCTTAAGTCAAAATATTTTGTAAATTTGGACAAATTACATGAGATGCTAACTTCAGATTCTGAAATTCACCTTAGCATCACATAAATGTTTTCCAGTTCCGAAGTATGTATTTACCAAAGACTTACGAAATGATAAAAGGGAAGACTAGAACTTATACTTCCAGGTACAGGTGACCAACCATTATATTAAACACATTGTAAAACTTTGACACAAACTTCACTTTAAATCCAGAAAGCACTGATCATATGAGGAACAAAAAGCAACAAAACACAGGCTGGCGCTTTGGTGCAGTGGGTTAATACTTGGCCTGTGGGGTCAGCGCTGTGGCGTACTGAGTAAAGCTGCAGCCTGCAGTAATGGCATCCCATATGGGCACCGGTTCTAGTCCTGGCTGCTCTACTTCTGATCCAGCTTTTTGCTATGGCCTGGGAAAGCAGTAGAAGATGGCCCAAGTCCTTGGGTCCTTGCACCCACATGGGAGACCTGGAAAAATCTCCTGGCTCCTGGTTTCGGACTGGTGCAGCTCTAGCTGTTGCAGCCAACTGGGGAGTGAACCAGTGGATGGAAGACATCTCTCTCTCTCTCTCTGCTTCTCCTTCTCTCTTTGTGTAACTCTGACTTTCAAATAAATTTAAAAATAAATAAATAAATAAATAAAATTTTAAAAAACCTCCTTCTGTGGTGCCGGCATCCCATATGGGTGTTGATTTTAGCTCCGGTTGCTCCTCTTCTCATACAGCTCTCTGCTATGGCCTGGGAAAGCAACAGAAGATGGCTCAAGTGCTTGGGCCACTGCGCCTGTGTGGGAGACCTGGAGGAAGCTCCTGGCTCCTGGCTCCGGATGGGCACAGCTCCAGCCATTGCAGACATTAGGGGAGTGAACCAGCAGAAGGAAGACCTTTTTCTCTGTCTCTCCCTCTCACTGTCTGTAACTTTACCTCTCAAATAAATAAATAAAAAATCTTATTAAAAAAACCCAACACAATAAAAACCTATCATTTCAGAGTAGCTAGTAAGATCTCCACAGAGAAACTACCTAGGGTGATGACAGTAGTGCTGCCTAATACAGCCAGCAAGGGCCCTTGTTGAGTCTGTGCTTCTCAGACAATTCACCCAGACGAACATCACCAAAGGCTTGGATGCCGTCAGCTGTCTATTCTGTCATTGTGCATTTTACTCCAAAAGCATAAAAGCAAAGGAAGTGCTTGCTAGAAGTTCATTCTTGATTTTCATTAGCTCTGGGAATCTTGCATTTGTCCTACCCTCACCCTCTGAGTGACCAGGTAGTCACAGAGCACTGAACAGCCAACTATCGCACCATCTCAGTGAGTGAGTGAACAAGGCTACAGGAACTTCATCACCATGACCACAGACATGAAGAAGCCTAGCTTGGGTTACTCACAGGAGCACAGATGGGTCACTGCTCTGCCGGCTCAGATGATAGGAAAGTGCCACCAAGAGGCCACAGAAGGCTGAAAACAGTGCTGGGATATGTTGTGTACTCCAGGGTTCCTAAGGAAAAGACACCAGATGGTCACTGATGCTGGGGAGAGAACGGCCATGCTTTGGGACATCCCCAAGTTTCAGCTTGATGGACACAGTGTTCCTGTGGTCTGACAATAGGCAAACAAGATTATGATAAACACACAGAAAATTCACCTACCCTCTTATACACAGCTATTCTGAGGCAGGAGGGAGGATTTCAAACTGTACATATTTTTTTTTATATTTATGAGAATATGCTTACTTAATCTTTCTTGAAATTAAGCTTCAGATCTTCATAAAATGTGACAATAAGCATATATCACTTTTTCTGAATTCAATATAATACTTAACAACTAAGAACCATATTTCTTAGAGTTTATCAATAATTAATGCTTTAAAAGGTATATGGAGTTTAAGAATAGTATAAGAAACAAAATAGACCAGTAGACAAAAATAACACTGGGTAAAGATTAGAGACAGTCCTTTGAAGTAAGAGAAAGATGATTTGAAATGAAAACAGCAACATACTTTAGGGTAAATATGATAGAAGCACAGATGTCATCCATCAACACATTGTACTTGGTGTGGCAAAGCAAAACTTGGTAAACACATATCATCACCCTGAGCCTCGTGGTGGCTTGGGACTCCCACTCTAGTGACACACACACATGCTATTCCTGCCAACACAAATGTGGCTTTTATCTATGTAGAAGAATATAGGCATATATTTAGCCCTGTCAATCATTAGCAATAGAAGTGCTGTTGATGGCTTCCCAAAGCTGAATTTAGTCAAGGACTTAAATATTATCTCCAGATTTGTTTCTTTGAGGAGGATCCATTCTTAATTGTGCTTAAAATCAGATCTACAAAGGAATGAGTCAAGTGTGTTAATATTATATTCCCAACTGCTAAGATGCTCTGGAAAAGCAAATGCTACATAGGGTAGAAAATGTGATTTTATTTTTATAGGCTGAGCTTTTCTAAAAAATGCAATATATTTCTTCCATTTGTCCCATTGGGTAGGTCTAGGAGCTTGAGAGCAACAGCTGGGAGCTGACCCTCCAAGAGGCTGTGGAGCCCCCGAGAAGCAGGGGCAGGAAGCAGGATAGACTGCCTCTACATGTCTCCAGGCAGCTGTCCTGGCTAGGGGACCTCCTCCAGAGCTCTCAGGTCAGCTTCCTCAGTGTCTGGCAACGTGATTTCTCCAGCATCCTCAGGCACCACGGCTGGGTTCATTCTTCTGATTCTATGTGGATCTCTTTCCCACCAGTTTTGCTAGCGTTCCAGTCCAGTGATAAAAGCATTTTGCATTGATCTCTTCTCCCTTTGCAGTTTCTTAAACATCCCCCCTTCCTGTGTTCCAGGAAGAGGTGCCCATTAGCCTTGTTGAGATCAGCCCAATGGGATGTCCCTTTCTCACCCCCAGTATGGAGGAAAGACATTCTCTCTTTTCATTGGTTCTGCCCCTAAAAATGCTCCTGTTGCTAATATCTTTTAAAAACAAGAAGGCCTTCCCCTTACCCAGTTATCCATGCAAGCTACTACACTGCCTTAGTCTGTTTGGGCTGATAAAGCAAAATATCATAGACTGAGTGGCTTATAAACAATAAGAATCCATTCCTCACAGTTCTGGAGGCTGAAAAGTCCAAGTTCCAGGCACTGGCAGATTCAGTGTCTATGAGTGCTCACCTCCTGGTTCATAAATGGTGCCTTCTCACAGTGTCTTCACACAGTAGAAACAGGGAGCTCTCTGAGGCAACTCTTATAAGGGGATTAATTCCATTGAACAAGGCTTTATCCTTATTACCTAATCATTTCCCAAAGGCCTTACTTCCTATGACCATCAACTGGAGGTTAAAATTTCAATATGAGGCTTTGGGAGGGTACACAAATGCAGTCTAAAGCGTGCACTCTTCTTCGTATTTTATTCAGTGCCAGTCCAGCCTCTTGAGGCTCTAAAATGCACATTTCACTTCTCCATCTGCCAGCCACTCAAGACCATGTGGTTGGAGCATGGCCTTCAAGCTTGGCAGACCTGGATTTGGATCCTACTTCTGCTGTGAACCGTATGGCCTTGTCTAAATCGCTTAACATCTCCGAGCACTCAGTTAGCTAACTACTCTCACAGGGGAAAATCACACCTGTTCAAGGGTCACCAAGAGGTACTCCTTAGTACTCTAGGTCACTGTTTGAAGTTTTGACAGGGACGGGTCAATGCAGCCCCCATATAGTGACTGGCACCCAGTGCTCCCTGTCAGGAACCTGGTTGTCCTCAGAGCTGTTTTATCCCCAAGATCTCCAGTCAGCTAATCCTCATATGTCATTGATACATCTTTCCAACACTTTTCTGATGCTTCCTTCCATGCTATTCCTTCCTTCCATTGCATCCTACCTGGGAAATGCCCCCACCATTTGTTCCAGGGCTACTGATAATGCTTCAGGGTGGGAGTCTCACACTCAGGTCTCCACATTCTCTTCTACTCCATGAACCCCACAGTCTGTCTGCCACATGGTGATAGAATGGTCCTCCTTCCTGACAAGGCCAATTGGATCACGTCATTGCCCTTCATTCTGTCCTTTTCAATAGCTCCTGGTGGTCTACTGAAGACAATGACTCCATAGACAGCTCCGATAGCCAAGCATTCAGCCTCATTCCTTGTATCAGGATGTTCACAGCACAGAAACAGTGAAGACAAGTTGCTGGGATGGGCATCTGGCACAGTGGTAAAGACACTTGAGACCCAGTCCTGGTTCCTCTGCTTCTGATCCAGCTTCCTGCTGATATGCACCCTGGGAGGCAGCAGGTGATAGCTCAAGTCCTTGGGTCCCTGACCCCCAAGTGTGAGACCTGGATTAAATTTCTGGCTCTTTGCTTTAGCCTGGCCCAGGATTCACTGTTTTAGGCACTTGGAGAGTGAACCACAAGATGGGAGATCTCTGTTTCTCTGCCTTTCAAATAAATGAAAATAAACTAACTTTAAAAAATTTTAAATGGTAAGATGCTTCCTGCTCTTCTGCCTCTGCACAAACGGTACTGCCTGCATAGAAAGCTCTCTCCCATTGCACTTCCCTCTACCTGGTGAGCTCCTACACATGCTTCTGTGCTCTGTGTACCCCGCATAGAAGCCCCACCCACCTAGTGCTGCCATCCCTGACTTCCCAGGCAGATTGGAACTCTTCTCATTTGTGCATCAAAATCGTCTTTAAACACTGCTAGGGTAGCATTTAAGACATTTCATTCATTTGTATGGACAAGGTTGGGCACTGCCCCTTTTCTGAGGGCCCTTAACTTCAAGAGTTATGTATACATATTTGCTAAGTCACAAGGACATAGTAGCTCATCAGTATGCTTTCACTGAATCAGTTGGATAAATAGAGCCTTTTATTATGTTCAGTGCAATAACAACCTCTTATAGGACTTGTTGGCTCTAACTCCAAAGCCACTGGCTGGTTACTTTATCCTGGCCAGAAAGGAGATCCTGATGTACCCTACTGAAACAATCACCCTTGAGACAAAACTTGCCTCATCATGTTTGGGCAGCCTTGTGATGCCACTGGGCTGTCGAGGCCCACATCCTGGGTATGCATCCTCAACTCTCATTGAGCCCTGATGTTTACTTGTCTGATTTCCCTGTTCAAAAGTGGGCTCAGTGACAAAGGGCAACCTTGCATGTTTCTTTCCTCTGTACCTGGCACAAATGTTAGCACATGGATGTATCCTTGAGAGAATGACTGCAAAGTCTCCATTTTCATAATGACCTGTGTAGACAAGAATTTTCAGCAGGAAAATGTAGCAAAGAAATTACCTAGCTTATAACAGTGTGGATCAGGCTGTGAAATGCCACAGAAATGAACATTACCAGAGACAAGGAGATCCGTTGACTTTGTGCCTCTCATTTTTCCTGCTAACGGCACTCCTGATAACAGCAAAGTTATTCTGAAACTTGAGAGTTCAGTCTCTCCTTGGAGTTTAGTCATCAGATGTTTATTCACCAATACCACATGCTATGCACCCAGAAGCACAACTGTGAGCACAACACAGGGCCTATGGAAAGTAAGAACTCAGGAGCCATTGCCAGCAGGTGTGACAGGTGGGGTGACAATAAGGTACTAGGTGCCAGGCCACAGAGTAGGAAGCAAAAGTTCAAGCAAGGTGAGGGATGTTACTGGGAGCCCCAAACAAAAGAAATGCAGGAGCATGTGGCCTTCTCTTCCATGGCTTCTGGAAAGACCACATGAGACTACCTAAAGGATCCCTGTAGATGCATGGTAACTGTCCTCAGCCATACTCCCATACTCCATATCCTGCTTTGTCCACCCTCCTAGCACTTCTCTTTCACTTCATACTTGGCTATTGTGAAAATAAATTAAAAAAAAACTGCAAAAGAGGAAGATCTTTGATTTCCTTCCATGAATTTCTGTGCACTTGCCAATGCTGTGTATTTAATTCACAATTTTGTAAAGACATACTCTTTCTCTTACAGCCCATAATAATACGAACACTGAAAGCAACCACTGTGAGGACTTAGTAATTATGACCAAGGAAATCATTCTCTTTGCACAAAATAAAGACAAGACCAAGGGAAGGAGTGTGGGCAGAAGCTGACCACAGGCTTCCCACTGGCTGGGATGGGCAGTGCTATAAGAAGTTTCCTAGCTTCTAAGTGGCTCCTCTGTAAAAAGCTGAGGGTGACACTTTCCTGAAAGTTTTTCTGCAATGACTTAGGAGATCTGAAACAGCATTGTACCCTGCAGAGTAGCACATCATGTCAGTTTTTCATTAATTGGAAAAGAAAGGGTACCCATGATGGATGGTCTTTGAAGACAATAAATTAAGTCCAGACTCTAAATATATTTAGATAATTAAGTTTATCTACTTTTATTCATCCAATACCCTTTACCTAATTCTGCTCTCATTTACTCTACTCCTCTATTTAATTATACCTCTTGAACACAAATGCCAAAGGACAGCCACACCTCACTGGTACCAAGGGACCCCTCCTACTAAAATGGAAATGACTAAAATA